CCCAGACTATTTCAATGCGTATCACTGGATATATGGAAACAAAATATTAAAAACACAATCCACAGATGGCTGGGTGGGACTTCTGGCTTAAAGCCAAGGTTGTTATGTACTAAAACAAAATATCAACATTATCTAGAGGGTTTAGAATATACAAGTCTCATAACACAATATTCAAAATGTCTATGATGCATTTAGAAAGTACTTTGCACACTAAAAAAACAAGGAAAATATCAACAGCAGTATGATACAGCAATCAATGCTTGCCAACGACGTGACACAGATGTTGACATTGACAAAGACTTTAAAGCAGCTATTACAAATGTATCTACAAGTGAAAGTGATCACTCTTAAAATGCATGGAAGACTAGAAAAGCTCAGAAAATAAATAGAATATATAAAAAAGAAGTAAATAGAAATTTTATAACTTAAAAACAAACCCTCCCTGGATATGCTTAATCGCTGAGTAGGTAAGACAGGAAAAACAGTAAATAAACTTGAAGATAAATTGAAATGATAATCTAAGCAAAACAGATAAACCATATAAGAAAAAGAAAAAAAGAAAAGGCCAGAGCTTAAGGAATATATGGAACAATATCAAATGGCCCTAGAAAGAGAGAAGAAAAAGTATAGTGCAGAAAAAATATTTGAATAAATACTGGCTGAACACACCTAACTTTATGAAAGACACAAACTTACAGATTCAAGAAACTCAACCCCAAATAAAATACACCCAAAGAAATCTATATCCCCATCAGTTGTAATAAAAGTACTGGAAATTAGAGGCAAAGAAAAAACTTTCAAGTGGTGGTAAAAAAATAATATATTGATTACTGGGGAATAACAGTTTGAAGATTGACTTCAACTTTTGCTTCAAAACTAACTAAGGACAGAATGAGTGAAACAAAAAATTTAAAGTACTGAATGAAAAAAAATTAACTTAGATTTCTGTATGCAGTGAAAATATCTACTAGGAATGAAAGGGAAATTAACATACTTCAGATGAAATGAAACTAAGAAGTTGTTCCCAGCAGACCCACACTAAAAGAATCACTAAAAGAAAATTTTCAGCTAGACCACCACCAGAAGTCGACTTGCATTATCTGGAATGAAGGAAGAAAAGCAGAAATAATATAATACCTGGGTATGGGTAACTGTAATATACTCTTCATCTCTACTTGAGTTCTTCAAAATATACCTGATGTTTGAATGAAAAAGTGTAACATTATCTGATGGAACTTCAGTGTACACGGGGCTGCCACACAAGTACACAAGGGGAGAAGTAAAGGAGCACATACCAGGCTAGGGTTTCTATCTCCACTGGAGGTGGTAAAGTGCTCTTTCTAAGTAGAAGCGAAAAGACAAATATGTAACTATAATCTCTAGGACAATCACTCAAAGAACTATGCAAACTGGTGAGAAAGGAGAGAGAAAAATAAATAATAAGAAAACTTTAAGTAACTCAGAAGGAGGCAGAAAAGGGGAAGAGGATAAAGAATAATAAAAGCAAGCAAACAGACTAACAAAAAGAAATGCCAGAACTAAAACTGAAGGTATTTAGTGTATGGAAAGTGAATGTCCCTAAACACACTGATAAAAAGATAGCAGGTCAGAATGAATTTTTAAAAATATGAAACAACTATAGTCTGTCTGTCACAAGTCACTTAAAATGTAGTAACAGAGAGAAACTGATTTCCAGAATCTCAGTGTGAGGAGCTTGGTCCCACCCCTCACTGAAACAACCACAGCTTGGCAAACAACCATTCAAAGTCTCTGCAAAGGGGCCTACATAGGACTTCAGCCCATGGAGAACTAGTTACTGAAGAAAACTGACTAAATCTTGTGTGAACAGTGCCAGCCTCTGACATCTGAGTCGCTGCCTCCTCCATTCCTTCTCCCATCTCAGCTCAGGAAGCTCTACTCAGGGCAGATGCAATCAAGAAGATGAATGCATGAAAAAATGCTCAACATCACTAATCATCAGGGAAATGCAAATCAAAACCACAGTGAGATATCACCTCACAACCATCAGAGTGGCTTTTATCCAAAGACAATAAGTAACAAGTGTTGGTGAAGATGTGGAGAAAAGGGAACCCTTGTGCCCTTTTGGTGGGAGTGTAAATTGGTGCAACCACTATGGAAAACAGTATGAAAAACAGGAAAATTCTTAATAAGAATTCCTTAAAAAATTAAAAATAGAGCTACCATATGATCCAGGAATTTCACTCCCAGGTATTTATCTGAAAATGAAAACACTAACTGGAAAGACATATGCATCCCTATGTTAACAGCAGCATTATTACAGTAATCAAGATATGGAAACAACCTAAATGTCCACCAATAGATGAATTGGTAAAGGGGTGTGTGTGTGTGTGTGTGTGTGTGTGTGTGTGTGTGTGTGTGTGTGTGTGTGTGAATATTACTCAGCCATAAAAAATGAAATCTTGCCATTTGCAACAACATAGCTGGACATAGAGGGTATTGTACTAAGTGAAGTAAGTCAGAGAAAGAGGAAAATTGTATGGTTTCACTTACAGATGGACTCTAAAAAACAAAACAAATAAAAAATTGTAACAAAACAGAAACAGTTACAAATACAGAGAAGAAATAGGTGGTTGCCAGAGGGGAGAGGTGGGGGAGAAGAAAGAAATAGGTGAGGGAGATAAAGAGGTACAAGCTTCCAGTTGCAAAATAAATGTATCATGGGTATAAAATATGCAGTGTGGGAAACATGGTCAATAACATGTACTATCTTTGGATGGTGGATGTACAGTAACTAGACAGTGGTGATCAGTTTGAACTGTATAGAAATATCAAATAACTAAGCTGTGCAACAGGAACTAACAGTGCTGTATGTCAATTAGACTTCAAAATCAAACAGACTTGTAGAAAGACCAGATTTGTAGTTACCAGAGGTGGAGAGCAGTGGGAGGGCAAACTGGATGAAGGCAGTCAAAAGGTACAAACTTTCAGTTGTAAAATAAATACTAGAGATGTACTAGACAAGTAGTATTAACACTGTTATATATTATATATAAAAGTTTTGAGAATAAGTCCTAGGACTTTTTATCACAAAAAATTAATTCCCTTCATTTTGTATCTATATGAGATAATAAATGTTCACAAAACTTTTTGTGATAATCATTTCATGATTATATACATCAAATTGTTATGCTGCATGCCTTCAATTTATACAGTGCTGTATGTCAATTATAGCTCAATAAAACTGGAAGAAAAAAATACATGATTAAATTTTGGTGTTCCTTTTTAGAGCTGCTCTTTCCAGTCTAAGATTCTTGTGTATTCCTTCACGATTACGTTAGGATCTACACAAGTTTTGGGAAAAATAATGTGGAGTCATAATTATATTGCCCTAAGCTCAGGCACTCATTTGACTATTTACAAAATATAAACTAGTGATAACTTCTACCACTTTGTCTACCCTTGATTTCATGAATATATGTCTATGTGCTAAGCTCAATTTACTAGTGGTTTATAATAACATTGATAAATATAAAAACAACCTCTGCTCCTTCTCACTCCAAGAAAACATAATCGAAAAAACAATCCCTAAGAGTGTTTGTGTTCTGCCTTTGATTTCCCTTCTCTCCCCATTTCAAGATTTCTTTTCCTAAACTTTTAAGCAAGTTTTTTCTTGGAGAGATGTTCAACTCTATCTCAACACTAGTTCTTCTTAATGATCAACTTGTGCCTCTTTCTTCTTACCTAGAGCCAAGGTATAAGATGTCACAGACAGACCCACACTTACATTGAAAAAGTGAGTAAAAGAGAACTGCTATAATATCAAATATTACAGTAACTTTAAAGGCAAATAATTGTTTCAAAAGAAATAATCTCAATTTTTTAATTTTAAAAGAACTTGTTATATGGCAAGATATGTTATTTTGTATTATTTTCCAGATTTGAGGACATAACCCTTATGATAAAAGTATACTATTTGTAGAACATTTGATTTCAGTGGTAATTTCAGAATGTAAATATTAGAACAATTCAGTCTAATTGGACTGACTCCAGAAATAAATCCCTGCTCTGATGAAATTCTAATTATATCTACACAATCTACTTTATTTGTTTTTAGAGTTTCTTGGCAATATTCTGTCCCTGTGCCTTACGTGTCTTTCATATGGCCAACGGTTTTCTTCCAATTTTCCCCATTAACCCAATAAAAGATTTCAACTGAGATCGCTGTATTCCAGAATTTCTAATTCAACTCCAGAAATTTCCAAATCCAATTTGAGATTCAGATGAACACTAGATGCCCCAAAGGAGCCTCCAATTAAATTCTGTATCTCAGCAGAGTTCTCTTAGAAACTTCATTCATTTGCACAGTTGGTATTTTAAACATAGAAAATCATGTAAGTTAAGTTTCTTTCATGTAATTTATATGATTTTGACTTTGTATTTTTATATCTTTCTTAAGGGATTAATGATGTAAACAACATCTGTATAAAATGAAACTTAATTAAGATGCAGAACCTTTTCCTCATGATAGAGCCACTGGTTGGACCAAAATAAAACTTACTCAAATGGTTACCTCTTTCCTGCCTTACTGTTATTAAATAAACCTGGAGTTTGACTTGCGTCATATTGGTTTGTGGGAACTGGCTTCACAGAATAAATGTTTAGAAGATCAATCCTTGAAAGAACATTGTCAACATCTTCAAACCATGGATTTGAATAGTTTATTCTTCTCCTATTTACTGTGTAATTTTATTTTTTTTAACTTCCAAAAATATTATCCCAACTATTGGGCTTTCTAAAAAATTGCTTTTAGTTCTTTCTTCCAAAATAGTCTTAGTAGAGTTCAATTTTACACTAAAGAGCTGAGTACAAAGTTTAATAATAAAATTATCTATCTGTAATTAATTCCTTTTTGCCAAATAGTGAAGTTTTCCCCTATCATTTCCCATGTCCTTTCACAGTCACTGTTACTATTACTAAATCTAACTGTTAAAAGATAAGTTTTTTTGCCAAAAGTTTTGGCCAAAAAAAGCAAAATCATTTGTATGTGGCTCCTCTCATTCTTTCCTAAGTTTGAGAAATACTGGTGAATACAAATTAAATCAACAAGGAACACAAAAGGATGTATAGATAAATATATTAAGTGACTTGATTAAAAAACATCACTATGGATTTTAAATAGCTATCTCTGGTAGATATTCTGGATTGGTTTTTCTCATCCCACTCTCCTAATTGGAGCGATCAGACATTAAATTCCAAGACTCTCATACTATGAGGCTTCTGAATGTGAAACTTGTTTCTGTCAATCATGTGACTGTGTGAGATTATTGATAGGAAAAATGAGACGAGTCATCTTCCCATTCTGATAAGAAAAGTGACAGAAATGTGAAGTAGAGTTGTTTCTGCATCATTTCAGCATTTATAGTCCAATATCCTCTGAAGAGGCAGTTACACCTGCAGTAACAATTGGAATAGGAGCCTCCAGATTCATCAAGTGTAGGTGCTGATGTGCTATCTTGATCTCAAATCTACATTGGTGGCATTGGAGACACAGCTGGCCCTCCATACTAAAGATTAAAAATATTGGGGGGAAATTCCAGAAAGTTCCCAAAACACAAATCTTCAATTTGCCATGCACTGGCAATTATTTACAGAATGTTTACATTGTACAATGTATTATAATATAGAGAGGATTTAAAGTATATGGAAGATGTGAAAAGGTTACACACAAATACTATGCTATTTTATATAAGGGACTTAAGCCACCCCAGATTTTGGTATCTGTGGGGATCCTACAGCCAGTCCCACTTGGATGCTGAAGGATGATGGTAGTTGGTCTACCAATGCACTAATTCTGTATTGGTCTAAGGTCATTCGTTGAATCACATGCCTTCAGCATCCCACTGATTTTTGTACACACTTAATTCCTGTTATTTATAATCTATGAGAAGAAACACATAGATTGGTACCTGTTTCCAGGCTGCACTTCAATATGGTAACTTTATTTTGGGACTCTTAGATTTAATTTTGCTTAACCGGTCTCTCTCACAATATAGCTTTTATTATTTTAAATTATATTTTATATAAATCACCTAGTTTTGTCTTATTCATGGAATACCAACATTATTTTATCCTCAGCAGGAGAAACTAGTGATGTACTTTTTTTTTTTTTAAAGAAATTCACTTCTGGAGTATTTTCTTATACTGATTCTAAATTATGCTTTCCAAAGATGTTTATCTTCATATAACTGTTTTTCTCTATACTTGTTTGTGCTTTTGCTAATTATTTTCCGACCAAGAAAATACAAAGACTTCAATGCAATTTTTTCTACTAATGAATCTATAAATAATGTATCAATGACTTTCTCTGGCTTGAACTTAGAATCTATAGTCATTTTTTCTTATTTCATTTATGTATTTAGAAGTTCATTTATGCATTTAGAAATTTTATTTAGAACAAAGGAGGTATTAAGCAGTTGTTAGTTCTGTGTTATGTATTTGGCATCCAGAGAGAAAACAGCATGCCCAAGGATGTGGCAAGAGGGTATGTCGTCCAGACTTCATGGCATATATGAGAGAAAAATGGTGTATTTTCACTTTAGAGATAATGAATGAGTGGGAAGCAAGATTCACACAAAGATTTCTTTAATTTAATAATTGAATACCTTTGATTTTATGCTTAGCTCAGTTTAACCAGTTCCTAGTAACCTTGGATAAATTGCAGTATGTGTGTCTACATTTCTGAAATTGTAAAATATGAGTTACCATTGACTGCTTGACATAGGTAGCTGCCTAATATATATATATATTGGCATCCTAACCCATTTCCAACATACCACCTTGTTGCTATAAAAATGTTCTTTGTATTTGCGATAAAACTTCTTAACTTGAAAGTTAGTGGTAACCACATCAGGGAATTTTTAATCTTTTGTAATAGTTAATGTATCTTTAGAACCATATTTAGTAAACATTTAAAAATCTGAAGCATATATATTTTATATGGTAATTACTTCATAAAATTTGGAAAGATTATACATTTATAGATACACTATATATTATCACTGACAAACTATAGAAAAGAGTCTGTTCTTTTAGAAATATTCTGAAATGTGCAGGATTCTGCTAAGCAATAAATAAAAGATGGTTTTGGAGTCAAAAGTCATTCTTAGAACTGATTGTACTTTTCTTCTTAGGAAAGGAAAAGGGTAGGGAGCCATGAGGACAGATCTTTATCTGATTTTACTGACTTTTGGAATCATGTTTGGGCATAAACCAACACAGAAATGTCTGGCTGTAGTGAGGCGTACACTAAAGAGTAAGCTGTGGAGTTGGAAGTTACATGCTCCTGAGTTCACTCTCTTCAACATTAATCCAGTAGGTACTACAGTGGACATGGACACTTCAATTTTAGGAGACACACAGATAGAACTGATGCTCATCCTTGTTTGAAAACCAATAACTTACACAACTAAGTGTGGCAAATGAATATTTTTAAGATTTCATAATTATTCTAAATTTAAACATCAGGTTTTGGACAGAAACAACCGAATGAATTTAATGATATGAGAATCTGATAACTTAAAAGTAATTAAAATGTCAAAATCAATGCAGACCACATTCAGATAAGTCAATGGAATTGGCTAAATTCTAAAGTTATTTTGAGTACTGACTTCAATGTTGGGCACTGCTATGTCTGACTCCAGAAAACAGACTTTAGGGATGAAAGGAAACTACTGAAGAATATTCCACTCCCCCCACCCTCAGAGCAATAACTACAAGGAAAGACTTGAGATTAACCTGTTTCTCATACCCTGAATTTCATTATGAACAGAACAAGTTACACTTAACTTTCTGTTGATAGTTTATGGAAAATAAGTTAATAGAAAATACTGAGGCAATTTTACTCAAACTTCCTTCTCTACTGCAATATCCACTAACAGGTATTATCTAAGAAACAGTATCTGAAAGTTAG